CCCCGCTCCCAAAACCAGTGCTGCCAGGCATCTCCCACCCCAGGCATCACCCCAGGTCAACCCTCCCAGCCCAGACACCCGGCCCCAACAAGTTCAACACTGGGTGAAAAGACGGCCAAAAGCTCCAGCACATACCTGAATCTGCCCCTTGCCCATGATCTTGTCCACGATCTCGTTGTTGTCCTTGTTGAGCTTGGTCTTGTCGTAGCACTTCTCGTAGCAGAGGATGCGCAGGGACTGGGAGCCCTCCAGCTCAATCTCGAATTCCTGGGGCATGGAGGGAGGGAGGCTCAGCCCCAGGACAGCTTCAGAGCTGGGGCTGGAAGGGCAACGGGGGGCACAGTCCCCTCCTCTCACCTCATTCCACTGCGGTTCGGTGGTGTCCCGAAAAACCCTGGTCTTGGCTTTGCTGACAAAGTAGCCGAAGGAGTCCACCTCCAGCGTGCAGTAAAGGTCTGGGGGAGCAAACACCGCTCAGCGCGTGAGGAACGTCCTCATCAGCTCCCGGGGGAGCGCTGCGGGCAGAGCAGGGCCACGTGCCGGACCCCAGCTCCCCCGCTGGCACCGGCCCCTCTGAGCAAGGGTGGGCAGCAGCACTTACTGGCAGACTGCTTGAAGCCCTTGGCGGAGTGGACGATGACGTGCAGGAACCCGTAGAGCCCGGGGGACTCGTCATCTGCGGTGGGGAGAGCAGAGGCTGCGTCAGGGCTTAGTTGTCACCTCCTGCGCCCCATGGCGAGCATACGGGCTGGCTGTCCCCGAGGCAGGCTCTGCCCTAGCTTGTGGTGACACCCCAATGTCCCCAACCCCCCGGAGGGCCATCCTTAAGGTCTGGAAGAGGACACATATCCCCGGCTGCCGATCATCCCTGATAGACATCCTGAGCTCTGCTGCTCGCTGACAGCCCTGGGCGAGGTTCCCAGGAGGGCTGGGTGGGTTTCACCCTGGGGACACCCTGGTCCTGTCCAGTCCATGGGGGTGCTGGAGAGTCCCCAAAAGCAGCCCCATGTTGCAGCCGGACTGCTCTGCCTGGGCGCCCGATTCTGCTCCAGCAGTGCCACCTGGTGGGTAGCTGTCCCCCTGCACAGCCGGTGTCCCCAGTAGGGACCCTGCTCCAGCCGAGGGACCCCACAGCTCCTCTGGGGCATCATCCAGAAGCAAAGAGGGACCTGCCAGCCCAGCGGACGCTCACCGTCCTTATTGCTGGTGACCGGGATGTTGTGGACGGTGCGTAGCTTGAAGCAGGATCCCGTGAGCACCTGCAGCTCCACCGAGCTCAGGACAAAGGCCTGGAGGTCTGCAAGAGGACAGGAGAGGAGCTTCAGAGGGATGCAGCCAACACTGGCCATGGGTACCCAGCCAGCAGCAGGCTGAGATCCTGCAGGACCTCCTTGTGGCCCCTGGGCGGGGGGGTGGGTGGGGGGGTGGCGGGCAGGAGCTCCAAGAGGGCCTCAAGACCCCCAAACTTACCTTTTTTCTGCAGTTTCTGAATGGCCTCCCTCCACTCGGACCTCTCGTAGTCGGAGGACAGCAGGAAGAGGTAGCTCTGTAAGAAAGAGGGCGATGCAGCAGGCTGCACGCAGGCAGGGCTGAGCCCGGCCCCCAGCCCACCCTCCTCACCTTCCCGTTGCGGTTGTGGATGCGGAAGGGGATGGCAGGGGGGGTGAGGAGCAGAACTCATTCTCAAACATCTTCTTCTTGAGGCGCTCGATGGCTCGGCTCTGCCCCTTGTTGGCTTTCTGCAGGCGGGGAGTGGACAGAAGCTTTCGCAGGCACCCCCGGCCCCCCACGTCCCATCCCTGACCTGGAGGAAGGCACCCGCCCCAACACCAGGTCCCACACCCTTCCCGGCTATCCGCACCCTCCTCTCACCTCCTTCTGCACCTCGCTCTTGATGGCCGAGATCTTCATCTTCATGTCCTCCAGCTCATGGTCGGGGATGACGTGGACCTGCGGGCAGTGCTCTGACTCCTCCGGCGAGGGGAACACCAGGTCGGCCAGGGGCACGTACCACTTGCAGTCGTACTGCTGGTGCTTCCTGCGGCCGGGGTGCGGGCGCTGAGTGATGCCTGACCCCCCTCCTGGCACATCCCCCAGCCCGCTGAAGGACAGAGGGGTTGTGACACATTCTGACCCTGCTCAGGGTCCTCCTTACCCCACCGCCGTCTTCTTCAGCTTGGCGCAGAGCAGCACATCGGTGAAGAGGAAGACGTGCCGCAGCTTCCGCGAGCCCTCTGACAGCTCCACCAAGAAGCCGTCCTTGACAAGCTGCCGGGTCTGCAGGGGAGCAGGGCTGGCGTGAGAGCGGGCAGGGAGCAAAGGCCAACAAACCGCAGGGGATGGATGCTCCCGTCCCTCTCAGCAGCTCAGCCACCAGGAGCATGGGAAGGTCCATGTCCTTTGGGTGCTATTTTGAGTCCCATATGCTCAGCAGGGTGCCAGCGAGCAGCAAGGACCAGGAAGATCCCTAACCTGGCACCCAGGACTGTGTCTAGAGGAAACCCTCCATCTCCTGGCCGAGCACCATGAAGCTCCTCAGGGTGGAGAAACCAGCTAGGGGCTGGCAGAGGGCTCAGCCCTCACCCTGTGCCCAGGCACTGCCCACCCTGCTGGCTCACCTCCCCCTTGGGGGTGGTGACCGCTGTCCTCCGGGGATCGATGTCCTCATTGATGCTGGAGAGGAAGTTCTGTGAGATGCGGAGGGCATCCTGGAGCAGCGGGTAGTCGGGGTGGTCGGCTGGGGTGTGCTTAAGGAGGTCCTGGAAGGGCACAGGCACAGGTAAGCTGCCCAAGGGCACTGCCCTGCCTGCAGCACCCACCCCAGAGACCCCCCAGCAGCGCTCCCCCCAGCTGTGGGTCCCCAGGAGTTATGGAGGCAGAGCCCCCTGCTCCACCCCTGCATCACACTCACGTGCAGGACGAGGGTGCTCCGCGTCACCCGGTCAATGGGTTTGTACAGGAGCGCTGTGGGGAGAGAGGGGGCATCAGCAGCCACCCACTGCCGGAGCCCCAGGCCCTTTCCCACCCGTGAGAGCCAGCACCGCATCCCGCGGGGGCAAGGAGGGGAGACCAGATGCCCAGAGACCCCCCCACCCCAGGTCCGCACAGAGCCCTGGGCAGGTGGCTGGAGTCTGTTCCACATGGAGACGGCGATGGCTGGACCACCACGTGAGGCAGCTGCCTGATGCACGCCTTGATTTCGGGGCTGTGCCTGAGGGGCTTCACCAGCAGCACGGTCACCCGCAGGGTCCCCACTGCGGTGACAAGCTGGGACAACTGCGCTCGCTGGGGGGGACTTCCCCCAA